GCGGATGGGCCAACGTCATGGTGGGCAACGCAGGGGTAAGTCGATCCAGTACATGGGCAACGGAGATATATGGCCAAAAAAACAAGGAGAGGGAAAAGGGGGAAAAGCAATAAATTTTAATTTAATACAAACTATACTCATACTCTCAATTAATGAAACAAGCTTAAGTTGTTCTGAAGACTAACACAATAATGGACTTCTCTATATCTGACTGTGGCTTAACATTTAAGGATCTTAAATGATGGTTCTAGCTACTTTTTAAAGAAAAAACAAATGATGTTTCAGTAGCAGGCTGGCTCATGAGGGTAGACACAAAACCTGTCATGACTCAAAGTTTACTGAAATTCTTGAGGAAATGGGGAAATTAATAAACCATATTATTATACAGAACATCTGGATTAAGAAGAAGGAGAGTCATAAAAGACAAAACAAAAATTCCCACACCACCAAAAAATCCTAACTATTAAGACTAGTTTGGTTTCCTGGAGATTTAAAACGCACTCCTAGATCCTAACAGGCAGGTTTGTAAAATTTTCAACAAATATTTCAAGTTCAGTTTATAGCAATCAAGAGGAACATACAAAGATCTGCGACCAAGAGAGAAATGAAATACTGTCAAAATAAGTATTCAACACAAAGTTATTATTTGCCTCTATTTTAGCAGGAAATAAAAACATTAAGAATGTATACACTGAGAAAAAAACTTAGTAATTTTGACGTAGCCAAGCTATGAGTAAATAAATACTAACTTCTGAGGATGCCAACATTTACTGTGTCTAATCACAAGAGTCAACCCACTATAAAATACGACGACTCAAATCGCAGGCACTGACAAACTCTTTCCCAATTTTAAGAGTATGTCCCTACTCTATTCTTTACCCATATTTAAATCATGGAAGCTCAACATTAATTTCTTTGTGCTCCATGTGCAAGCTGTTAAAGAACAGACACGCTTAAAAAAAAAAAAAAATGGAGGTTTACTCAGCCACCTGCAATGGTTTTCAGTAATACAGCCATCGATTCACACGGGAAATGGTGCAATTAAGTGTTCTTTAATACTCTGTCAATATTTCTAATTAAGATGTTATCTTGCCTGAAGTGAATAATTTGGTGGAATCCTATTTGTAAACAAGGAAGTTTAATATAAACCTCCTCCCTTGTAACTCAATCTGGTTTTTGTTAAAAATAAAAATGGCAAATCGGGAAATCATCTACAATCAATCATTACGAATGGCTTGTACCTAGTCTATTAAGTGATCCCTATGATTCAAATCTTTAAACTTCTAGAAACACATAAACAGAAGCTGCTTGTGTAATAGTTTAAACTCTTTAATACTTACGTCTGTACGAAGAGCCTTAATATTCTTGCCTCCTTTTCCAATCACTGCCCCAGCATTCTGTAAAAAGATACAAAGACGAAAATTATTTTGCCTCTCTGTAAGTTTTAATATAATCTCCCTGCATTCTTTGCTCTGACTCCCATACCTGCCCCTCCAAAAACCCTAGCTCTAACCTTCCTGTTACAGGGCTGAAAATCTATTTGCAGGTATCAAAACCCTCAGGATAAAACCAAGACTCTACTCAGGGAGAAGACACTTTATGTAAGTAAAGTAGAGCACTGTATAGTAGCCCGAATGCGAACAACACGTTCTGGGTATATAACTCACACACCGATTAATTAGTTTTATGGTATTCCTCTATAACGTAACAAAAGAATTTTACCAATATGTACCTTCACATTGCATATGGCAACAATCAAATAAATGGCTAACCAAGATGTTTTAAAATAAACTCACAATGTAATCAAGAGCTAATTCATTGATGCCCTAAGGATTACATCCACCCAACCTTCTGTAATGGTTCATTGTACGAAGGGTTTTATCTTAATTGCCAGCAAAATCAAAACCAGAGCTATTCTTTAACCCATTAAGACTCTGAAGACTACCCAAAAAACCAAATAACAACTAATTTTAATTTCTGCTGGAGTATTAAAACACTTCCAAATTATCAATAAAACTTATACCTTGCTCTGAAGCAGAATGCGCAGCTCAACCATCTCATCAGTGTTCCTAGATCTTTTAAATGCTTGTTCCTCTTCCATATCTTCTGCGGGGCGTTTACCTAGAAATGAACATTTAATATTTCAACAGGACTTCTTCAAAAAACAGCCCTGAATTACATTTTAGTTTTAAATTAAACAAATTAACTCATTTTGTTTGAAAAGATTTATCCCTAATTGAAAGTGTTTTTCAAGGCCAAAAGCCAACGTTACAAATCTTGTTTTTTAAGTTATGAAACAAAACCTGTTCATTTTCAATAGCGTTTAGCAAACACAATTTACCTTGGGGCAATACTTCAAACTAAGATGTAACCAACATTATTCCAGGCTATCAAATTAAAATGACTTACATAAAAGATAACAATGTATTAAAACCATACAGTAACAAAAAAAAAAAAAAACAAAAAAAAAACCCAAAATGAATAGAACAGAAAATACAAAATTGTTACAACTAAAAAAGTTTTCTCACCAAATTCACCATTGGTTTCAGTGTTGGGGAAGGTCTCCTCTGGCTGCTCAGTTTCCATTTTCTTGTACTAAATGGACACACCAATCTGTTAAAAAATAAAGAAGCTAGTACATCTGGCTCATTAAAGCAAACTGGGTATCTTACTAAATATTATGACAAACAAAGAAGTGACTCTGCTTCTGGAACGTACCAGTTATTATATATCCTTGCAGAGCAGAACTGAAATGAAGTATTCTGGGCAGGACCAACAACTGACACCCTACTGCTGCAGTAGCCTATAAAAACCAACATAAATCAGTTTTGCTTTTTTGTTCATTCTTACAACTAAATACTAATTTCTGATCATACTACTGACTTCAACGCAACAACTAGCTATTTCTAAAAGTTAATTCTTCTGGAATTTTAAAAATCAAACCGTTGCCTAAAATCAAAGGAAATTGATTTTTTAAAAAGGAAAACCACCAGCTTTTAAGCCACTGAATTGATTTCCACCACAGCAGTTTCATCACGATATACAAAGACTAAAAATGCATATCAACTTATCAGTTTAAATTTGGTTTTTTAGAATTTCTAACTACATCTTATTCGGCAGAGACGATTATTTTTATGTTGGATGTCTAATCGCGTTGGGTTCAACTGCATGCTGTTTTCTGAAATCTTCGAAGTTTACAAACATAACGGCAAATGCAAACCATAAATAATCACTTCTACTGGAGGATAAATCTCAAAACCTGGTATACACATAACACGACTGATTTACTCAACACAGTTAATGGACTCTTTGAACACTTTATAAGGCTCACTATCAGGATACCTTAAGTTAGAATAAAAAGGGTATATCCTAACAGTTACACTAATATAAAAAGGCAAAAAATTCTACGTGCCAGAATGGTGATGGGACCCAAATCACCTTTTAGATGCCCTCCCGGGACTGACAGAAAAAGCCAAGTGGCCCCTTCTACGGCAGGGGCTACTAGAGCTAAAGAAAAAACAAAAACCAAGGCAGCATTTATTCCGCCCATTCCTCCATAATATTTGTTAATAAACCCACTCTTCTAACGACTAAAACGAAATTCTACTGGCCCATCACTCAGTTAAAGGCTGAGATGTGGCGGAAGACTTGGATACGAGAGTTCGAAAAAAAATAGGACGATCTACATGTTAAGAATAACGCAGCCACTATTAATCCGCTAGGTCCTTTTCCACCCTCCCTCAGACCCCGAAAATACGTTAACTATGCGCCCAGCCAGTCGTGCGCGAACATGCCTGGTCCTCCCTGCATATCCGGGTCGGCCGAGTAACAGGGGTTGAAAAACTCAAGAGGCGATCGCAAAAGCGCCGCACCTCTCCTCACCCGGATCCGACGGGAAATGGCGGCCCGCGTAATGGCGCCTACGTGCTACTAGGCGGAGCTGAGCGTGAACCCCCCCTCCCCCACCCACCACGCGGTCCCGAGAGCTCATCCCCGCACCCCTCCCCCCCGCCGCGGGAGAGACAAAGCAACCGAGGCAGCCCCGGCCATCCCATGACCCTGGCTCCCGCCCCAGCCACAGCCCGGGAGGGCCCCACTGCGGCGGGGCCCACACAATGAGCGCGGCGCCAGGCATTTCGCCTCGGGCTCCCGCCGGCCCCTTCTTTCCGAACAAGAGGCCTAATTCTCAATACTACGTAACTACGTTTCTTCCTAAAAGAACATACCTCGCAATTCCCCCAAGTTTCTAGCACTACAACGCAGACGGGAGAGACACTCTCGGAAATGGCGGAGATAGGGGGAGGGGAAAGCAGGCAACGTCTCTCTGGGAAGCCGCCAAGCAAGCACCAAGCACCCCCTAAAACGGCCTACTTCTAAGCGGGAAAACTGGCTTCCCAGCGTTGCCTCACCGGTAGCCCTCCCAGCTCCCCTCCTCACCGCGCGAGGCCACCGTCCCTTCGCCGCCGCGCCGCCTCAGCCGGTCACAGCTCGACAGAGAACGAGAACAGGCCCCCGTCGCCCTCCCCCGCCTTCTCCCGCTCCGCTCGCCTACCCCGCCGCCGCACCTGATTGGCTGCCCAGGCTTCAGAGGTGGCGCGAGGGCGAAGAGATTGGCCCCAGGCTGCGTCAATCAAAGCGCCGAAAGAGGCAACAGCCCCGCCTTCCGCCGGCACCTCCCTTCGGGCTGAGGTAGCTAAGGGCCTGAGGAAAACCAGGCTTGGAAAAAGTAAACGCAACCTTTCAGGGAGGCCAAACCCCTGCCTGAACACGTATTACCCAGACCCCAACAACTCCAATTACTTACAGGCCGCGAACAAGCGGAATGCAGGCAAAACGTCGAGGTCGGTGCAGCAGAGAAACAGAGGATAATGGCGTCTGCAGTGCTTTCCACTGGAGCGCCCTCCTCCTTTCTCGTTTGCGCACTGTACTTGTAGGGGGAGGGGGCCTCTCGCGAGATTTAAAGGCTGTCTTGTTCACGCGCACAGGGAGGGGGCGGGGAGGGGTGTCTTCGAGGCCTGAAAGAGTTGTTTGGGGTTGGAGGAGAGGCATGAGCGCGCGGCAGATCGGGCGGGAAGAGGCAAGACAGGTTTAGGGCGCGCGCGGTGGCGGTTCCTGTTTTTATGGTCGCGCGGCCCGGGAACGGTGTTGCGCGAGGGGAGTGTGGGACGCCCAGGTCGGTGCTAGGCCCAGACGAATGCCTGCCTCTTCACAGTCCACACTCGCGTCTCCTTTCCCACTTGACGCACCCCCTACCCCCGCGCCGGGCTGCCAGGCTGCGGGACGAGCTGCTCTTGGTAAGTGCCGGTTGCCCGAGCTGCCCGCCGGCCTCGGTCTACGCCTCAGAAACCCGCTTTTTGTAACGGTCCGCAGCGCCGTTCTTGTGCGGCTGGGGCCGAGGGCGCAGCTGGAGATGCGCTTCATTCTGGTTCCCGGAAAACGCGGGCCGGCGCTCTGGTCTCATGCTGGCCGAGCCTCGCACTCGTAGACAGCTTCTCCGCTTTGGTTTCGGCCCTGGGCCTGCCGCAGTCCGAACACCCGGCATAGCCCAGGCATTTTTACAGCGCTCTCCGTTCACGACGCCCATGATACGAGTATTTCGTAGTGTCGCCACTGCAGTTTATTCTGTGAAAAAGTTGGAGTAAATATTGCATTCATTTCTTAATGAATGCAGATCATAAAAAACGCTTTCGATATCCGCGTTCCGTTCATTCAAGTCTTTAAAACGCCTACCATGTGTCTGAATTCTGCTGGAATCAAAACAAAAAGTCCCACCTTCAAAGATCTCACCGTTTTAGCGTATTCAATTTATACTTGCTAAGTGTTGGGTTAGTTACCTCTAAGGCCTCTGTGCCAAACTTTGATGATTTCTTTTATTAAGGTATATAGGTCACTAGGTGACAAACCTGGGAAATTGCCAGCCCTGTTAATACCCACTTTCCACATCGTGACTCTTCATCCTTCCAGCTTCCACCCACAATCCCAAACTCATGTTGGAGCAAACTCATAATGTACACTTAAAGCTAAATCCATCAGTAGCAGAACATACTTTAAAAATTTTTTGGAATGGTGAATTTGTCCTGATTCATTCCAACTGTAACTTGATTTTCCTCTTGCATAATTTGCAAAATACATGTATCAGCATCCTTTATAATGGTTATGATTAATGCCCTCGATCATCTTTCACTTGCCTGATTAGGAAGAAAACTTATGTTAGGGGGAACTGAGCACTTCATGAAGCATCAGCATTTACTGGCTGGGAGTATACATTAACAACTTTTAGAGCATAGTGGCTGGAGTTGTGGAGTTTATAAAAGATCTTTTAAACTAATACAATTTATTTAATGGCTCCCACCGTGAAGAGTGTATAGTCTTGTTGGGGAGGTGAAACCAACAAGATAGAAAGTTTTCGTTTTGGTAGTTCAGGTTTTTATTAATATTCAACTAAAATTTGATGAGTGAAATTGATGAAAATGCTTCGATTATAGAGATTTAATCTGCCAGTCAGGATTTACAACGTTTGAGTGTATCATTTAAAACCTGGGATAAGTCACTACACACATATGCACATGTAGGGTACTGTAATAATGATGTTTTCTTGCAAGTTAGTATTTCTGTTGGAGCCGTCAATTTCTGCTGTTGATAAGCAGTCATGAGTGATGTGCGGGGAATCCAAAGTAAGCAGCCCTGTAGATACAGGAACCTCTTCCTCCCAATTTCACTGTCTCCTGACTGACTCAGTCCTGGTGAAAGCTGTTCCTCAGCTTCTCTAGATGCTATTGTAGGTGGGGTTTTTTTCCTTTCCCCATTTGTTTTCTTCCTTATCTCTTTACCCTTAATTTTCTCTTTAGGTTTATGATTTAAATCACAGGAAAGCCTGTCTTTTTTCCCATCTTGAGAATGTTATTTAAAATAACATTTAAAACAGTACTGTATCTGCTCTTTCAAGGACTTGCCTGCTTCATTAATTACAGTTTGTCTGCTGTAATTAATTGCATGATCACCTTTGACTTCCAGATTTAAGGCTAGTATTACTTAGCTGTGGGATATACTTTAGATAGGCTAATATATTGAGATTGTGCACTAGCCACCTGGATTATTATTTAAAATATTATTTATAACTATTTATTGAGTTCCCTACTATGTACCAGTTTCTGCTTTTTCTACAATATAAAAAACACAGTGTTACAAATGTTCTGGCACATACATCTTTGTCATTTCTGATTTCCTTGAGATTAATTCTGGAAAGTAAAAGAAGTAGATTGTGAACATTTCTTAATGTGCAATTAAAAAAAAATTTTCCCCCATATTTGTTTCTCTTTTCTTGGACACTGGAGTTCTTGAGGATCTGAGGCTGTTCTTTGTGTATTAGTAGATAGGAAATTGTGCTGTCCTAACTACGTAATCTCCTGAGCTGTTTCTGCCTGCAGTGACTATGGTTATCCAATTTCTCCAGAAGGAGAACAAAAATCTTAGGAATTCTCTGACGGACTAGATGAAAGCAATAAAATTTACCTAATTATTGAGGGTGTCAACTATTGAAACCCACTCTAAACATTTATAATGCACGTTCCATATGATAATACTTTTTTCCATTTAATTAAACAATTTCAAAACCTCTCTAACCTGTAGGGAAAAAAATCCTATTATACGTAGAATCATCTTTTTATTACAATTATTACCAGCATACAGTTGTAGGGGACTGTGGCCATGTCCCAGGTGAATCGCACCATCCACTTGACTTACTTGGCTGTTAAGTGAAGAATTTTATGTAACAAACGTACATTTAGCAGTCAGTTCCCCCACCAAAGTTCTGGACTTTTTCTTAAAGTATTTGAGAATAGCTGTATTTGAATGCTTGTATAATATTAAATGTCTCTTATCACATTTGCTTGCATTTAAAAAGTGTCTTGGTTATTTTTTTAGGCTCTAGTCATTGGAATTTTTCTCCTTGCCTAGTTATGATAACATTACTGTAAAATTATAGTATGTCAGTTAGCTCCAGAAGTGGAGATTCAGATCCTGGAGGGTACTACTTGGAGAGAATTATTAATTAGAACTTCTGCACATTAATGGAACAATTTTGTTATGGTTCACTGAGCAGTGTTGCTCAGAATTTTTCTCAACTGTGAGCTGAAAGGAGTTTTGTCATTTGCCATGTTCAAGAGCACAAGTAAGTGCATGTTTGGGATAGATAAAAAATAAATTAAAAAATAAAATAAGCTGATAACATAAGCCTTACAAATATCAATTTAGAATTTTTTAATTATGTGATTTTTAATATAGCAAAAGGAAAAGTAGTGCTTAACTGTGACACTGTTTTGAAACTGTCACAAAGATAAATGTAGTATGTACTGTTTTTAGTTTTTCTTTGAATTGATTTTCTAAATGAAATAATTTAGGATGCACTAGGTGAACTTACTATTTAAATGAGATCTGAGAAAAATCTGTTCATTGTAATAATACTCTTAAAGGATGACCATTTATGTGTAAGTGGATTTTATACACAAATGAGGAACTAGCTCTGCTTTCCCATTGCGTTTGAGTCAACAGTGTCTACCGAAAGGAGTAGGAATGGAGATTAGCAGAACTTGAGCTCTAGCTCTGGGACTGACTGCTGCTAGTTATGAAATTTTAGGTGAGCCACTCAATCTCCATGCCTTTTTAGCACAAAAGATTGCTTTGAGATATTGCAGATGTAAAAGTCTTGAAAAATGTTTAAAATCTTATAAATAAGAGGTTTAAAGTTTTCTTTTCAGCAAATGCTTATTTTCAACTCTCAGTTTACACATCCATACATGCTGGAATATAAAGTTAACATGTCTGAATTCATCCTTATTCATTCTCTGTCCAGCCTTGATCTTTTCAGTTCACAGCCAATCAACGTTTCTTCCTTTCTTACTGGTTTCTTCCTCCCCTAGAAGTCTCAACAGTATTATTTCCTAGTAAATAAAAGGTTTGAGGAGAAAATAGCTTTTGCATTATGTAGCTGCATATAACAACTTAGGTAATTTGTAGGATAAAACATTCTACAAGAGAATTGATTGTAATTGTGACACGTATGCTTGATAATCCAGTTAAACAATTTACTCTTCTGAAAGTACTCTTTGTCCTGATGTTTATACTCCTAATAACTGTTATCACTGCTTTCATAAATTATACTAGGTCCATTTGCCAGCACTGTGGTGTTTAAACCTTAATGGGGGCAAACAGGTAACTTATTGAATCAGCCACCTAAGAGCTATGGACCTGGCTGAATTTTTGAGATTAAAACAGTGACTCCAACGGATGCAATGAAATAGTACTTTTGAATCCAGGTTATGTAAGTACAGATCTCAGTACTGACGATAAGATGTCACTAAGCTGTAGCTAATGGAATTGTGCTTGGTGGTTTTGTTGTTTTTAGGTGCTGTCGAGTTGGTTACGACTTAGTCACCCTATGTAAAACAGAAGGAAATACTGTCCAGTCCTGCGCCATCCTCACAATCGTTGCTGTGTTTGAGCCCATTGTTACAGCAACTGTGTCAATCCGTCTTGTTGAGGTCTTCCTCTTTTTCACAACCCTCTACTTTACCAAGCATGATGTCCTTCTCCAGGGACTTGTCCCTCCTGATAACATGTCCCAAGTACATGAGATGAAGTCTCTTCATCCTCGCTTCTAAGAAGCATTCTGACTGTACTTCCAGGACAGATTTGTTCGTTCTTCTGGCAGTCCCTGGTATTTTCAATATTCTTCGCCAACACGGTAATTCAAAGGCATTAATTCTTTTTCGGTCTTCCTTATTGTCCAGCTTTCACATGCATGTGAGGCGATTGAACATACCATGGCTTGGGTCAGGTGTACCTTAGCCCTGGAAGTGACATCTTTGCTTGTTAACACCTTAAAGAGGTCTTTTGCGGCAAATTTGCCCAAGGCAATGTGTCATTTGATTTCTTGACTGCTGCTTCCATGGGTGTTGATTGTGGATCCAAGTAAAATGAAATCCTTGACAACTTCATTATTTTCTCCGTTTATCATGAAGTTGCTTATTGGTCCAGTTGTGATGATTTTTGTTTTCTTTGTGTTTAGGTGTAGTCCACACTGAAGGCTGTGGTCTTTATCTTTATCGGTAAGTACTTCAAGTACTCTTTGCTTTCAGCAAGCTAGGTTGTGTCATTTGTGTATTGTAGGTTGTTAATGAGTCTTCCTTCAATCCTGGTAGTCAGGCCTCTTGGATTATTTGCTCAGCATACAGACCAAATAGTATGGTGAAAGGATACAACCCTGACGCATACCTTTCCTGATTTTAAACCATGCAGTGTCCCCTTGTTCTATTCGAATGGCTGCCTCTTGGTCTACGTACAGGTTCCTCATGAGCACAATTAAGTGTTCTGGATTTCCCATTCTTTGCACTATTATCCATAATTTGTTATGATCCACACAGTCGAATGCCTTTGCATGGTCAATAAAACGCTGGTGAACATCTTTCTGGCATTCTCTGTTTTCATTCAAGATCCATCTGACATCAGTAATGATATCCCTCTTTCCATGTCCTTCTGAGTCTGGTGGTTTTAATATGCCTTTATTTTAGTTTTACATTTTGGTGTTATTTTGTTTTAGGTCTGTCTCTTCTGAAGCAGGCAGCTGAATTTGCTTTATCCGATTTGAAGTATCTTTTAGTAGGTGAGTTTATGTTCATTATGATTGCTGACATATTTACCATTTTATTTGTTTCTGTTTATAGCCCTTCCTTTGTGCCTTCTTTTGGATTGCTTCTTTTCTTTATTCTTAATGTTTTTCTTAGCTAGTTTGAAAGTTAGTTACTGTATTTCTGTTCTTTTGGTGTTTAGTTTTTTTTTTTTTTTAATTGAAATATAATTTACCTTCAGTAAAATTCATGCTTTGTGGTGTATAGTTCTGTGGATTTTGACAAACACATATAGTCACTTAACCACCAGCACAGTCAAGAATAGAACAGTTCTTTCACCCCAGAATTTCCTCCTGCCTCTTTGTAGTCAGTTCTCCATACCCACAACCCCTGGCGACCACTGATCTGTTTTATGTTTCTATAGTATTGCCTTTTCCAGAATGTCATAAAATGGAATTACAGTCTTTGTCTGGCTTATTTCACTTAGCATAATGTATTTGACATTCATCTGTGTTATTGCATGTATCAGTAGTTCTTTTTTATTATCAAATAGCATGAATATACGTCAGTTTGTTTATCCATTCACCAGTTTAAAGACATTTGCATTGTTTCTAGTTTTTGGCAGTTATGAATAAAGCTGCTATAAATGCTTATATACAGGTTTTTAAAGCATAAGTGTTTATTTCTCTAAATATCTAGTAATGGGATTACAGCATCATATGGTAAGTATGTGTTTAACTTTCTAAGAAACTCCTAAACTGTTTTCCAAAGTGACCGTGCCAGTTTGTATTCCCACCAGCAATGTATCAGAATTCAGTACTTGGTATTCTTAGTTATTTTTTTGTTTTAGCTATTCTAATAAGTTAATAGTGGTATCACATTGTAGGTTTAGTTTTGCATTTCTCAGATGTCTAATGAAAGTGAGCATCTTTTAATGTGTTTATTTGCAATCATGTATCTTCATTGGTGAAGTGTCTGTTCAAATCCTTTGCTCATTATTAAATTGGATTTTTGTTTTCTTATTGAATTTTTAAAATTCTGTATATTCTAAATACAAGTTTTTTGTCAGTTACATGTTTCCCTGAGTCTGTGGCTGATCTTTTTATTCTTGTAACAGTGATTTTGCAGATCAGAAATTTAAAATTTTGATGAAGCACAATGTATCATTTTCCTTCTTTTATGGATCATGCTTTTTGTGTCGTATCTTAGGAAACTAAGGTCACAAAGATTTTTCTCCTATGTTTTCCGGTAGACATTTTATAATTTTAGTTCTTACTTTTACATCTTTTACCCATTTTTAGTTAATTTTTGTATACAATGTGAGGTATGGGTTAAAGTTCTTTTTTTTTGCATATGGATGGCCAATTGTTTCAGCACCGTTTGTTCAAAAGACTGTTCTACTTTCATTGAGTTGCCTTTGAAACTTTGTGGAAAATTCATTGACCATACACGTGAGTCTGTTTTTGGACTCTGTTTTATTAATCTGTGTGTCTGTCCTTTTGCCAATACCTCACTGCCTTGATTACTGTAGCTTTATAATAAGTCTGTATAAAGTAAGTCTTCCAACTTTGTTTTTCTTTTTCAAGATTGTTTTCCTGTTCTAGTTCCTTTATCTTTCTATAAATTTTGGAATCAGCTTATAATTTTTTACAAAAAAGGTTACTGGGAGTTTAAATGGAATTGTATTGAATCTATAGATCAGTTTGGGGAGAATGACATCTAATAAGATAAAGTTCTCCAATCCTTAAACACAATGTATTTTTATTTGTTTAGATTGTCTTTGATTTCTTTCATCAATAATTTGTAGTTTTCAGTATACACATCCTGCACATATTTTGTTAGATTTAGGTGTTTGGTTTTTTGGTGCCATTATAAATTTTACTGTTTTGTTCATTTCGATTTCCAATTGTACACTGCAAGTATATAGACCCTATAGCGTTTAAAGGGTTGCTATTATTTGGAATCGACTCGACGACAACAGGTTTTTAGTGTATAATTACCAAGAAAGGAAGACATGAGATCCTAGGAAAAAGTGGCCTCACACTCATCTTCTTGATAAAAAAAATCTTTCCTGAGGCCTTTTGGACTGCTTGCTTCTTTATATCCTGCAATTTCCCTTTGCCATTGTAAAAATGGCATGGTAGCAGCATCTGACCTCCTTTAACTTCACAAGGGGGAAGAAGAATCAAGATCAACAGGCCAAGGCTGATTCCTATGAGGCCAAGGTCACACATGCCTCATCTCTCCGCCATCTTTACCAATTCTGACACCAACCGTCCCTCCCACAGCACTCTCTAATTCTCTGCTGGGTTCAATAGTTCATTGCAATGGCCACACAGAACTCATAGAAAGTACTCACGATTATGGGGTTTATTAGGGAAGTAACAGGTTACAATTCAGGTTCAGTAACACTCAGGATACAATTTTTCCATCAGGACTGCCTCTTGTCAGCTGTGCCCACAGGCACGCCTCTCTCTGGCCCCTCAGCCTCTGCCCTGCTTGGGCAAGTGTTACAAAGCCCTTTTATCTGTGTAGATAAGTACCCCGAGGCCCTCCATTCGGCCAGTAAGCCTCGGCCCAAAGGCGCTCAGCTCTAGCTCCACCAAGTGCCCAGAGGCACCCTACTCCTCCAGCAAGCTTCCTGCCCAAAGGCAGTCAGCTTTCTCACTCTGGGCTGGGAAGCCCACTGCACCATCTCCTCCTGCTGGTCTCTCTTGCTGCTATTTCTCTGCCACCACTTCTCGCTGTCTTCAGTGTTACAGCTCTCTCTTTCTCTTTCCCTCTCTCTCTTTCCCTCAGCTCTCTCTTTCTTTCTTGGTCTCCTGGTTCCAGGAGCTTCTCAGCACAGGGATTCTGGGGTCCAAAGGACATGTTCTGCTCCTGGCTCTCCCTCCCTGGTGGTTGTGAGATCCTCTCTTTCTTGCCTCTGGAATGGCTCATTTCAAGCCCAGTGGCATGACAAAACTGGCCAATCCCCTTGGTGGGCCACAATTAACCCTATTTGCACAATCCCACCCAGTCACTTGGGTGGGAGTTACAAGACCATGGTGAGAAAGGCCACACAAAAGCGATCCATCACACCATAGCCATAATGCTTTGCTTCTCTCTTATGTAAGATCCAGGATATCATGTCTTCCTTTTTCTTGGTTTAGTCCTCTGTTATGCTTTGTTAGGGTGCATTCTCTGGTGCAAAAAAATGTTTTAGACAATGCTTATCTGAAAATGTTTTTATTTCACTGTCACATTTGATTGATAGTTTGCCTGGGTTGAGAATTATAGGTTGGAAATAATTTTCATTCAAAAATCTGATGCTATTTTATTTACCTTCTAGCTTCCATTGTGGCTATTGAGAAGTCTAAAGCCATTCTCATTCCTGATCTATATTACTTCCAAAAAAAAGGTCCCATCTCAATCTTTGTTTTCATTGTAGAAGTTGTTTCTTTTTGATATTGATATTGGCTTCATGACATCACCCTTCCATCCCAAGAAGAGAGTTCTAAGAAATATAAAAGAATCCTACATCATGTGCCGTGGGGTCAGAGTACATGTTGAGAACATATAACACATATAATGTTGATTCCTGTTTTATATTTATAACCCTTACCATACTCAATTACATATATGAAATATTAAATTATACGATATAATTATATAATGGAATAATATGGAGTTTTGATTTCTTTTCCTTACTATTGCATTCAGAGATTTAGAATGAAAATATCATAATGGAATAATATATAATATTATGTAATTGAGGATCTGTCTTGGAAGAAGTATAGCCAGAATGCTCCTTGGAAGCAAGGATGGCAAGACTTCATCTCACATATTTTAGACATGCTATCAGGAGGGACCAGTCCCTGGAGAAGGACGCTTGGTAGAGGGTCAGTGAAAAAGAGGAAGACCCTCAACTAGATGGATTGACACAGCGGCTGCAACAATGCGCTCAAGCATAACAACAATTGTGAGGACGGTGCAGGACCAGGCAGTGTTTCATTCTGTTGTACATAGGGTGGCTATGAGTCGTAACTGACTCGATGGCACCTAACAACAACAACAAAGGGTTACACAATTTCAGAGAAGCAGGTTAGGAGACTATTCTAGGCTCCTCTTTCTTAAACCCATTGCAGTTGAGTCAGTTCTGACTCATAGCGACCCTATAGGACAGAGTAGAACTGCCCCGTAGGGTTTCCAAGGAACAGCTGGTGAATTCAAACTGTCGACCTTTCGGTTAACAGCCAAACTCGTAACCATTGTGCCACCAGGGTCCCCCACTTTCTTAAATCTCCCCCCCCAAAAAAAACCTATTGTCATTGGGTCAATTGCGACTCATAGTGACCCTTTAGGACAGAGCAGAACTACCCCATAGGATTTCCAACGAGTGGCTGGTGGGTTCGAACTGCCGACTTTTTGGTTAGCAGCCAAACGCTTAACCGCTGTGCCACCAGGGCTCCACTGCTTATGGCCCTGAACTATCATATCATTTTGACTCCTTTCTTCAGTGCTTTCTTTAGGACAGATTTAATTTTTTGCTGGTCTGGGGAATTTTTTTTATGAATGTATAGATTTTTTTGAAGTCTAATATACATTCAGAAAAGTGCTCAAATCATAAGTGTACAACTCAGTTGATTTTAAAAAATGAATATACCCTTGTAAGCAGCTTTCAGAACATTGCCAGAATCCCAGAAGTTCCCTTTTGCACTTTTTCTGTCACTACCTACTTCCCAATGGTAAGCACTGTCTTGATTTCTGATATTATATATTAGTTTTGCTTGTGTGTGAACTTTATATAAATGGACTGTATGTATTTATGTTTATATAGTATACAATTTCTTACCTCTTGCTCAACATTGTTTATGTGCTTCATTCATGTTGTTTTGTGTAGTTATAGTTTATTTATTCTCATTGCTGAATTATGATCCATTGTATGAATATACAATAAAAAACCAAACCTGTTGCCATCAAGTTGATTCAAACTCATGATGATCCCACATGTTATAGAGTAGAGCTACTCCATAGAGTTTTCTTGGCTTAATCTTAAGCAGATTGCCAGGGCTTTCTTCCGCAGTACCGCTGGGTGGGTTCCAACTGCTGACCTTTAGGTTAGTAGTCATGTGCAAACTGTTTGTGCCACTTAGTGAATATACAATATTTACTCTTTTATAGATGGACATTTGGGTTTTTAGTTTGGCTATTGTGAATCTTGCTGCTATGAGCATTCTCGTACTGGTCTCTTGGTGAACATAACGTGTTTTTATTTTGAGTATGTATCTAGGAGTGAAATTTTTGGGTCAAGTAGATATTAACAGTTAATTTTCCACAGTGGTTGTACCTGGGAAACTTTTTGTTTCTAAGAAGTGGAGTGAAGTCCATTCTTTGCTTTTTTTTGTATAAACCCTTCAGGATTTAGTTTTTCAGGTTTGTGCAGTCAGGAGGTAATTCTTTGATATAGGTCTCTGCATTCTGCATTGGTAGCTTTTAGGGATTTCTTTAGTTTTAGGGTATGATACGTGAAAAGGACTCTAGGAAAATGAAACATTTTCCCAAGTACAGGCAAAAATCATGTTCCTTATTTTATATGCGCACTTCAAAGGTCAACAGTATCATTCTCCCCAGTAGTCTTTGTCACAAAACATCATTTGAGTATTTGGGAACATCAGGAGGTTCCTTTTATCAACTTTGTTGTTAGCTGTCATTGAGTCACCTCCTGACTCAGGGCATCCCCATGGCACAACAAGATCAGACTATTGTGATCCATAGGGTTTGGTTGGCTGGTTTTTGGAAGTAGATCACCGGGCCTTTCTTCTTAGTCTGTCTTACTCTGGAAGCTCCTCTGAAACCTGTTGAGCATCACAGCAACATGCAAGCCTCTACTGACAGACAAGTGGTGGCTGTGCTTGAGGTACATTGGCCAGGAATTGAACCTGGGTCTCCCACTTGGGAAGAGAGAGTTCTACCACTGAACCACCACTGCCCTCCCTTTTACCAATGCAGGGCACTTAATTCATGCAGAATATGTTGACTCTAAAGCAGTATACCCAGGATTCTGAGGAAAATTGAATGATAAATAGACATGGCTTCAACGAGTTTATAACTTAGGAGTGTAGATACATAAGCAACATAACACAAAACATTTTAACAGGCACGTATGTACAGGTGCTGTGGGAATATACAAATAGTCTAGTAGCCCTTACAAAAGGTGGTATTTAATGTGATTCTTGAAGGATGAATAGAATTTCCTAGTACTGTGAAGAGGTAAGGGCTTTTTTTTTTTTAAATTGTTGTAAAAATATATATAATACAACAACATTTACCAATTCAACATTTTTCATGTGTACAATTCAGTGATATCAATTACATTAATCATGTTGTGCAAGCATCACCCATAATTGTTGCCATATTTCCCATCACCGTAATCAGAAACTCTGCTTCCTAAATAATAATTGCCTTTTTCCCCCTTCCTCCTGCCCCTTGTAACCACTAATAAGCTTTGGTCTCTATACATTTGCCTCTTCTTGTTATTTCATGTAAGTGAGATCATACAATATTTGTCCTTTTGTGATTTACATTTTACACAGTATAATATTATCAGGGTTCATCCATGTTGTATCATGTATCAGGACTTCATTTCTCTTTATGGCTGAGTAGTATTTCATTGTATGTATGTATGTACCAGGGTTAAGGGCTTTTAAAGCTGAGAACACAGCCTGAGTGCATGACATGTTGGGGAAGGAGTATACATATCATACAGTAGTTTAGTCTGATTGGAGCATAGGATATATGAAAAAAAATATGGAGCACAATTAAATAATGTATGTAAAGCAATTCTTAAGGCTCAATAACCCTCTAATTTTGAATGAAGACTATTTGTGCCCTATTGTAGCTGAGAGCACTGAAAGATTTGGGTTTATATTTGTATGACATTGAGAAAATTGTTTAACTTCCCTTAGCCTCCACTTCCCCAGCTATACAATGGGGGTAATAATACTTAGCTCATAGTGTGCTGTATTACATGGAAATATAAAAAAAGTGATTAGGATAGTGATTGATGAGTAATAAACAGTCCGTAAATGGTGCTGTCATCATCAATAGGAAATGAAACTGGATGGTAGATAGATATGGAGGATCTTAAATTCTTTTTTTATTTATTTTTTGTTATTGAGAACATACACAGAGGAATATACACCAATTCAACAGTTTCTTCATGTACAATTCAGTAATATCGATTACATTCTTAGCGTTGTGCAGCCATTCTTACCCTCCTTTTCTGAGTTGTTCCTCCCGCCTTAACATAAACTCAACTGCTCCCTATGTTTCCTATCTGATCTTTTGAGTTGTGTTGTCAGTATTTGATCCCATATAGAAAGATTTTAAAAGAGCACAATGCTCAAGACAGACTAGCTAAACTGTTGTTTGGTTTTAAGAAGACTTCAGGGGATATGTTTAGATTAAGGTTTAAAGATCATCTCAGGGCAGTACTGGAGGTTCATCGAGCCTCCATGGCTCCAGAAAGTCTGGATTCCATGAGAATTTGAAATTCTTTTCTGCATTTCTCCCTTTTTGATCAGGATTCTTCTATAGAATCGTTGATCAAAATGTTCAGTAATGGTAGCTGGGCACCATCAAATTCTGGTCTCATGACAAAGGAGGCAGTTATTCATGGAGGCAATTAGCCAGACATTCCATATCCTTATCATATTCCTGACTCTCCTTCTTCCTCTGTGCTCCAAACAAACAGAGACCAATTGTTGTGCCTTGGATGACCACTTGCAAGCTTTAAAGACCCCAGGCACTATGCAACAAACTAGGAGGTAGACCAGATGCACTAAACACGTTATTAGGCCAATTAACTGGGTTGTCCTATGAAACCATGGAACTAAATCCCATGAGGCTTTTGATTGTACATAAGGAGCCTCAGCAGCTACTGTTTTTTTTTTGTCATTGTTGTAAATATATTTATCACACAGCTTTCACTAATTCAGCTTTTCACAGGTGTTCACAACTTGTTGACAGCAGTTACATTAATTGGCTGAGCAACCCACCCTTAATCAATGCTATTTTTCTATCTAATTCTGAACCTCAGTGCTTCATAAGTAATAACCTCCCCTCTCCCCGTCCCTTCCGCCCCTGATAACCACTGCATTTGACTGTTCTTGTTTTTTGTTTTTATATAAGTGAGATCATACAATATTTGTCTTTCTGTGGTAGACTTAGTTCACTCAGCATAATGTCTTCAAGCACCATCCATATTATAGCATGTATCAAGACATCATTTCTCATACTGGCTGAGTAGTATTCCATTGTAGGTATGTACTACATTTTGTTAATCTGTTCATCTGTTGATGGACATTTAGGTCGTTTCCACCTTTTGGCTGTTGTGAATAGTGCTGCAGTAAACATTGGTGTACAGTATCTGTTTGAGTTTCTGCTTTTAAGTCTTTTGGGTATATACCTAGGAGTGGAATTGCTGGGTCATATGGTAGTTCTATTGTTAGTTTTTTGAGGAACCGCCACACTGTTTTCCACAGCGGCTGTACCATTTTGCATTCCCACCAGCAGTGGATAAGGGTTCCAGTTATCCCACATCCTCCCTAACATTTTTTCTTTTCTTTATTTTTTTTAACCTTAGCTATCCTAAAACCGTGAAAAAACAAAAAAAGCTGTTGGGAGTCGGTCCTGACTCCTAGTATCCCATAAGTTGCTATGAGTAGCTATCCTAGTGGGAGTGAAGTGATATCTCTTTGTGGTTTTGATTTACATCTTTGATGGCTAATGAAGTTGAACATCTCCTTAATGTCTTTGGTGGCCATTTGGATGTCCTCTTTTGTGAAGTGTCTACTCAAGTCCTTTGCCCATTTTATGATTAGGTTATCTTTTTGTCGTTGAGGCGTTGAAGTTTTGTATATATATTTTGGTTCTCAATTATTGGATATACAAGTCAGTAGTTTGTCATTTCACTTCTTGGTAAAGTCTTTTAATGAACAAAAGTTCTTAGTTTTTATGAGGTTCCATTTATCTATTTTGTCTTTTTCTGTTTGAGCTTTTGTTATTATATTAGATAATCTATAGTTAAAAGCTAGGCCCAACAGGGCTCTTAAATTCTTAAATGTCATAGTAAGGAATTTGGACTTTGTTCTGTAGGGAATAGGAAATCTTAGCTGGTTTTTTAACAGACTTGTATTGATAATCTAAACTGTGTTTTAGAAAGATGATTGATAATTATATGAAAGTTTGAGTGGATTTGAGAGATTAAAGCAGAAATACCCTTTGTTGGAGAGACATCGTGGAGATAGCATCAATTTGAATTTGAGTGGCTGCTATTTACCAGGTACCATAGTAAGTACTTTAAGTCTAATAATAGTTTACATTTATCGAGTTCTTACTGTGTGTCAGGTGCTGCTTTATTCATATTAAGTAATCAATCCTCATGGCAAACCTATGAGGAAAATGCTATTCTCATTTTACAGAAGAGAGATGTAGGATACCTTGAAGTTGAGTAATTTGTCTCAGGTCACAGAGTTTGTAACTGAAAGATAGAGATAGCCTGGCTCCAGAGCTGTACTCTCCACTGCATTATATACTGCCCCTCCTATCTCCTTTAATGTTCACAGTAGCCCTATAAGGTCAGTATATATAAGAAAGCAGTATTAGAGTGTGTAACTTGCTCAAAGTCATTCGTTTGTGTTTATCTCACTCCAAACCTCATGTTTTTATTCTATATTGCCTCCGCTCTGATTGATCACAGGGTCCCCAAGAACTGTACCACCAAACTCTTGTACTCATGAAGATAGGCCAGTGATTCTACAGCTTCTTATAACCTTTACTGTTTCTTGTCTTAGCTCCCAGAGCCATTTAAGCAGTAGAGATTATAAGCACTCCACTGAACAACCAGTTACAAATCTTGTCATCAAATCATGTGCTCCTATCCAAGTGGTAAGTTTTCTTATGAACATGTTAAAACTTTTATAAATTCTGACTGCTAAACATCTTCATCTGTGGAAGGAACAATCTACTTTAATGAACACAGGGCTGATTAGTCCTTGATGTTTTGCTACTGCCTTATCATATTGAGAAAGTAAGTATGTTTACCTGGCAGAACTGTTGAGAATATTTAGCCAAACAAATAAGAGGCTTTACATGAGCTTGAAGTCTACTGTTATTTGTTATAATTTTATCCTTAGACCACATACTTAAGTGCTAAATGCTAAACACATGTGGTGTAAGTTTTATTAGCGTCTGACTTATAGAAGTGAAAGAAACCTTAGCAAGGATTGCACCTTAATTAAATTTTAAATAATTAGAATATAAGTATTATATTTGTACAATAATAATTAACTATTTACTGAGTATCTTCCACAAGTTTGATATTACGCTTTATGAATATTATTTGTCAGGTGATAGTATTGATATTTTATAGATGAGAAAACTGGGTTAGAGGAATGAAGACATTTCTACTAGGTCGCTTAGCTTGTAATTTGGCAGAGCCAGCTTTCAAACCTAGATATATCAGACAGATATATCTGTCTCAAAACCTTTTGCTTTTCTCATTATGCCATCTGATTACTTGTGGTGTTTAAATTGGTCATATAGAAAGTCAAAGAATTTTAAGGTGCTAAAGAGAGAAAAATCTAAAGGATATGGTTATGCGTGTTTGTGCATTGTAGAGAATTATAGAAACTGTATCTAAATGTACTGAATTATAATTTTTGTTTTTCTTTTAGATAATTGATGCATAACATTTCTTTTACTTAAAAGAAATGAGTGTAACTGGTATTGCATTAAGAGTTGAAACCTGGCTTTCTGCTACATGGCATGTTAAAGTACCTCTAATGTGGCTGGAAGCTTGTATTAACTGGATCCAAGAAGAAAATAATAATGTTAAATTGAGTCAGGCACAAATAAATAAGCAAGTATTTGAGCAATGGCTCCTAACTGATCTGAGAGATTTGGAGCATCCTCTTCTACCTGATGGCATTTTAGAAGTTCCAAAAGGAGAACTAAATGGATTTTATGCTCTGCAGATTAATTCATTGGTTGATGTAAGTCAACCTGCATATTCCCAGATACAAAAATTGAGAGGAAAGAATACAACAAATGATCTAGTTACAGCTGAAACACAAGTACCCGAAAAACCTTGGGAAGCAAAGGCTTCACGAATGTTGATGCTACAGATAACTGATGGAATTATACAAATGCAGGGAATGGAATATCGGTCTATTCCAGCTCTTCATAGTGATCTTCCTCCAGGCACAAAAATTTTGATTTATGGAAACATTTCTTTCCGACTTGGTGTTCTCTTATTGAAACCAGAAAATGTAAAGATATTGGGAGGTGAAGTAGATGCTCTTTTAGAAGAATATGCCCAAGAAAAAGTACTTGCAAGATTAATTGGGGAACCTGATCCTTTAGTTTCAGTCATACCAAATAATTCCAACCGAAGCATCCCCAGAAATACAGATATTCTAGATCCTGCATTAGAACCTTCTGATGAAGAACTCTTGGCAAGTCTTGATGAAAATGGCGAACTTGCAGCAAATAATGACACCTTGGAAAGAGGACATTTCAGCACAGGTAGTTCTTCAAATACTAAAACCGCAAGACAGCCAAGTTTTGAACCAGGATTTGTTATTTCTCAAAGACCAAATGAAGAACCACCAAATCAATCTGTGCATTTCATTGATGGAGAATTAGATGACTTTTCACTGGAGGAGGTCTTACTTTTAGAAGAAACTGTCCAGAAAGAACAATTGGAGGCTAAAGAATTACAGCCGTTGACATGGAACAGGAACACAGATAAAAGTATAGAGAGAATTCCACATAAATCTAATACTCTGAATAGTTTTTCTTCGATTTGTAAAAATGGAAACAATAATTGGAATGAAAAAAATGTATCTGAACAAATAACTAATAAAGACAGATCTTTTGGTTGTCCATCTGCTAGAGAGCAAAATAGTAGTGTTTTTTCAGTTGATCATAATATACCCCTGCCCCATGATTTTACAAATAAAGATAAGAACTCAAAGATAGATAATAAAGAAAAACAAACTGTCAGCAGTTCAGATGGATGTTCCTTAAATAATAAAATATTAAGTAGAGAACTGGTCAGTTATGTACCAGAAAGGAGTTTACAAATATCTAATGAAAATGATCACTATTTACAGACTTGTTCTTTAAGATCATCAGAGAATAACAGTAATCCTTCTATCACCACGGATTTGTATTCTCCACCCTTTATCTATTTGTCTGTTCTAATGGCCAGCAAACCAAAGGAAGTTACAACAGTCAAAGTCAAAGCATTTATTGTAACCTTAACTGGAAATCTCTCAAGCTCTGGTGGCATTTGGAATATAACTGCAAAGATTTCTGATGGCACTGCATATCTAGATGTAGACTTTGCAGATGAAATACTTACTAGTCTGATAGGGTTTTCAGTACCAGAAATGAAACAGTTAAAAAGGAATCCTCTTCAATACCAGAAGTTTCTGGAAGGTTTGCAGAAGTGCCAGAGAGATCTAATAGATTTGTGCTGTTTGATGACTATTTCATTTAATCCCTCCTTGTCTAAAGCAGTGGTATTGTCGTTACAAGATGTTACTATGGAACACCTTGAGAATCTAAAGAAGCGGTTGAATAAATAATTAGCTAAAATAGCATTAGAAAACAAAGTAACAAGGAAATATTTGAATTAAGATTATGTATTTTTCAAACTTATCTTTGTAAAAAATTAGTTTCATCATTTATTTCAGTTTAATTTTAAAATGTTTAATCATGCTTGTTGTGTATATAAGTTTTTTAAATAAAAATTTTTTTATAGTAACTGTTAGTTGAAGGAATTTGGTGACCCTTTATTGTTTAGAAGTTTGCTTTCGACTTGTTCTTTCACATAAGATGATTACTAAAGTATTGTGGTGTTCAGTGATATTGTTGAAAGTTAATACAGGTAGTCCCTGACCTATGACGTATTTGAGTTATGATGAACCACAGTTAGGACCCTCTGTTTTTTTTTTTAGTACTACATACAGTGTTGCAGCGTGTAATTTGCTGATGTTATTCGCATATGTTCACTTGTAGATGTTTATATGTAATGTTTCCAACCCCTAAATAAAGATCAAATTTATAAAAATACTGATAATAAAAGGCAATAATAATGAAAACTAAATTAAAAAAAAGAGGTATTCAACTTACGTCAAAACAGAGTTACGGCAGAGTCATTGGAATGGAACCCCGTCATAAGTTGGGGACTACCTGTAATTACAAACACATAGTTTTAATTCTAATAAATTGAGCACCCAAAAAGATTTGTTTGTATTGTTATTCTTAGAAAAAAAATTGAATCCAGTCAATCTGAATGTTGGACTTTCAGATGCAAATTGGTTTTCTGGTTATTTTGTTGATTATAAATATTTGTGTGGTATATTTAAGGTGAATCTTATGTTAACTAGATATTATTTCAGAGGTTGTGTTGAATGATGAAAAAATCCTTATTTTCAAGGATAGTTTACCTTAAATGGTATCTTGAAACTTAGTTATTAAGATCCAGTAAGGATTTTATTTATTGCATTAAAATAAGTCATTTATCCATGTTTTTGGTTGGTATTCCCTTTCTGAATTAGCTCTACATATAAGCATCCCTTTAGTTTTGTTGCCAGTGCTGATTTTTTAAAGGGAGGCTGTTACCATTTTTTGTTTTGCTACTAAAAAGTTACATTTGAAAGGTAAAGTTATTACTATTTTATCTTTAAAAATTCAAGTTCCTTGAATTTTAAAACGTTAAACATGCTTAATAATAAAATGAAAGCATTATTTGCATTTTATTTTAATGAAAATAATTTAATTGAAAAATACCTGGAAGTAAGAGAAATAACATATATAAAAATATGATATAGAAGTAGTAGAAAATTTTTTTTAAGTCTTTTGCCATTATTGTTTGAAGGATCATAATCAGAGTTGAAAGCACAAGAAGACAGATATTGCTGCTATATTCTCTAATAATAATCTCTACTACTGCAAAAGATCTAAATGGGATGAGATGATCCTATCTTTCTTCCAGATGTTTCCCTTCTCTACTCTATCTCCGTGAGTTGTGCTTGAAAGCTGAGATTAGACCTTATTTTCACTCGTCATATTTAGTTACTAAAGGCTGGCTATCATACTTTACCATCTCAATCCATCCTTTTGTATTGGTTTTCAGTGCTTTGATGCTGACTGTGGTCATCTCTGGCCTGGATTATTCAGTGATTTCCTAATTGATCTTTGGCCTTATTTTACCTTCAAACCATTCTCCATAAATGCTGCCAGAATGATCTTTCTGAAATACATATTTTCTTGTTTTCTTTTCTGAACCTTATCAGCTGCCCCTGTCTTCCTTACTTACACAGTGAAGTCCAAACTCCTCATCTGGTAGGTAAGACCTTTTGTAATCTGGTCACTGCCTTTTTTTTTTTCAACCTCATTTTACCCCTGTTACTCTCTACCTGCCTAGTCTGGCCCTAAGTTTTAGTCAGACCAAAGTATTTGTAGTTCCCCAAACATATAGGAAAATATTCCTCATGGTTTCATACTCATGCACATAGTGCCCATACTTCTGGCTCCTGCACTGCCCAAATTCATTAATATCTCCTGTCATGGATTTAATTATGTCCCTTCCAAAATGTGTGTATCAGTTTGGCTAGGCCCTGATTCCCAATATTGTGTGGTTGTCCTCTATTTTGTGATTGTAATTTTATGTTAAAGAGAATTAGGATGGGATTGTATGACACCCTTCCTAAGGTCACATCCCTGATCCAATGTGAAGAGAGTTTCCCTAGAGTGTGGCCTGCACCACCTTTTGTCTTATAAGAGATAAAAGGAAAGGGAAGCAAGCAGAGAATGGGGGACCTCATAACACCAAGAAAGCAGTGCCGTAGCAGAATGTGTCCTTTGGACCCTGGCTCCTTGCACGGAAAAGCTCCTACTCTGGGGGAAGATTGATAAGGTTGACAGAGAGAGAAAGCCATCCCCTGGAGCTGACACCCTGAATTTGGACTTTTAGTCTGCTTTACTGTGAGGAAATAAATTTCTCTTTGTTAAAGCCATCCACTTGTGGTATTTCTGTTATAGGAGCACTAGATGACTAAGATATCTCCAGACTCAGTTTAAGCTTTAGGTGCTCACTGAAATGTTTCATGAATGCCCCTGCCCACTTCCATGCCCTCCTGTACATTCTGTAGACTAAAATCATGTATGTTTTATTGTACTTAGTGATTTGCTTCAACTTTGGCACCATTAGATTTTGGGCAGAATGTTTGTTGTGGGAGGCTGTCCTGTGCATTGTAGGATGTTTATCAGCATCCCTGGCCTCTACCACCAGATGCCAGTAGCATCCTCCGAGATGTGACAACAAAAAAATCTCGACAGACATTGCCCAGTATCCCTGTCTTAGTTACACAGTGCTGCTATAACAGAAATAACCACAAGCATGGCTTTAACAAAAAAGTTCTCACAGTTTAGGAGACTAGAAGTCTGAATTCAGGGTGCCAGCTCTAGGGGAAGGCTTTCTGTCTCTGTAGGCTCAGAGGATGTTCCTTGTCTCTTTGAGCTTCTGCTCTGGGTGATCTTCATGTGGCTTGGCATCTCTCTTCCCCCGTCTCTGCTCCCTTCTCTTTTTATCACTCTTAAGATAAAAGGTGATGCAGGCCACACCTCAGGGAAACTTCCCTTATATTGGATTAGGGTTGTGACCTGAGTAAGGGTGTTGCATCCCACCCTCATCCTCATTAACATGGGTTGCTATGAGTCCAAATCAACTCAATGGCAATGGGTTTGGTTTTAATCCTGCCTCATGAACATAATGGACAGCCCACTCCCAAATGGGACCATAACCACAGGCATAGATGCTAGGATTGTAAATCACAATTAGAAAATGGAGGATAGTCATCACAAAATGGAAGACAAACACAATACTGAGAATCATGGTCTAGCCAAGTTGACACATTTTTGGGGGACACAGTTCAATCCATGACAATCCCGTAGGGGGTAAAATCATGGCTGAGTGTTTTACTCACCTTATTAACTCCAGTAAGTGTTTATTGATACTACAGATAAGTCATCAAATCATTACTTCTATTCCCTTGCTTAATATCTTCTAGTGATTTCCCATCACCTGTTCCATAGCATGGTACTTAAAGCCCTAAAAGTTCTGCATACACAAATATGTCAAATATCTACCCTGTTTGGGAAAACAGTACGTTAGAAAGATCTGCCCAAAAGCAAAGAAAGACTTCAGGAAAACTTGACTGACCTGTCAGAAGCAAATGCAAATCCTCTTAGGTGAAGCATGTACTCTTGACTCAGTCCACACAAAATTCCTACAGACAGCCCAACTATACATGAGCTCACAGTCCGAGTTTAAAAAATTACGGGTTAATGCAATTTTCCCACTCCTGATGTTTCTTTTCAGGGGGATGGAGCCTTGTTATCATTACACTCCTAGCCTTTCTTTGCCCCTTTACTTCAACCTATCGCTGAAGAGGAATGACTTACCTAACTGGTAATTTGGGAAAGAAAAAAATAGGTATGATCAGATATGCTTTCTCTTCCTCTTGGGAGTGAGTGTTACAGAGAGTATATGTTTACTACTCTTCTGTAAGTCTTAACCTTAGTTGGCCCCTGTGCTAAGTTGGCCTCTGCCCTTGTCAAGCACTGCTTGTGACTGGGTGGGTAAGTCTACCCAATTCTGGAGTTAGCAGGTGCCCACACAGAGCTCTTAGATTTGCATGTATCTAAAAATGACTATATAATATACTCGAGGAAAAGTGAAACGACAAGATTGAAATTTTCAGCAGGCAAGTAAGAAATAAAAAGACTAAATGGGAATTCTAAAGATAAAGAATATAATTAAAGAATTAAGTGGATGAATTTAACATTGGATGAAACAGAAAAAATAGTGAACTAAATTTAGTCACAAGAAAATACTCAGAATGAGGCATGCAGAGACAAAAGAATGGAAAATAACCAGAAAATAATGAAACAGATGTAGGGAAATCATAGAGATAAGGTGTAACATAACATGCACCTGGAGTCCCATAAAGAGAAGAAATAGAGAATATTTGATATTAATGCTTGAGATTTATGAAAAATTTATGAAATCATAATCATCAAACTACAGTCTTCAGAAGCCAAGCAGAATATATTCAAAGAAAATCATACTTATGCAAATATTACTAATACTATTGAAAAGTAAAAAAAAAAAATCTGAAGAGCAGTCAAAGAGGCATATTATCTTCAAAGGACCAAGAATCTGAGAACTGACTTTTCAACAGAGACAGTGGAATTTGGAAGACAATGGAATGGTATCCTTAAAATTTTGAAAGAAAATAACTGCCAACCTAAGGTTATATACCAAGCAAAAATGTTCTTCAAGTATAAGGATGAAATAGGTAAAATTAAGAAAATCACACAAAAAAATGAGAAAGTTTCCCTAATGGAACCTACGCAAAAGAAATCACTAAAGCGTTGTCTTCAAACCACGTAATACCAGATGGGAGCTTGGAGATGCAAGAAGAAATGATGATCAACAAGGTAAATATGTGGGTTAAATAGAGCTTTTAAAGCAAAAATAATGTCTTGAGGATTTTAAAAAACAAAATGCATGAAAACTGTAGTATATAATAGGGAGAGGGCTAAATGAAGTTGAAAAGTGTTTTAAGGCCCTTGTATTGTCCAAGGAAAGGTTAAACCGTAGTTTTATATTGGATGTGAATATTCAAAGTTTCATATTTGAATATTTAGGGTAACCTCAATAAAAGATTCATTAAAGGGTATATAACTACCGAGTTAATAGGGTGAAAATGGAATAACAAAATAATGTACTGAAAAGAGAAGAGAACAAAGAAAATGTGGTGTATAGGAAAAGCAAAAACAAAACAACATAGTTATATTCAAGAGACATAAAAATACAAGCACGCAAAGGTAAGAAGTGAAAGGATATAAAAAGATGCATAAACACTAATCAAAAGAAAGCTGCTGTGGCTGTATTCATATCCAAGCAGTAGAATTTCCGGCAA